TCCACCTTGGATCTACCATCCTGAACAAAGGATGGCAGCAGACTGTCACAAATACATTGAGACCTAACATCTAATTATTCGATTGGGTAAATTACAAATTTCTTTTGTTTTGAAGTAAACTTGAGAATTAGATTGTTCCACCTTGGATCTACCATCCTGAACAAAGGATGGCAGCAGACTGTCACAAATACATTGAGACCTAACATCTAATTATTCGATTGGGTAAATTACAAATTTCTTTTGCTTTGAAGTAAACTTGAGAATTAGATTGTTCCACCTTGGATCTACCATCCTGAACAATGGATGGCAGCGGACTGTCATAAATATATTGACATCCAACAATAGTATAACACCTAATTATTTTTTTTTATTCTTTTAAACGAATGCATATGTCGATCAAAGCAAATTTAGACGAAATGAATATCAATCTCTCATGAATTTGGCGCAAATGCCCTCACAAAGTTAAGCATATGCTTTGCATATAACCATCACATGCGCAAAATAATCGTAAAGTCCCTCAAATCCGAACATATTTGTAGTACTAATATGATGGCGTTGCGTAAAGTTCTTCACACACATGTTCGCGTACACGAAACTTCTAATTCAACACACACACACATTTAGTTAGCTAGGTAAATTCGTAAATTGGTGTTTCACCAGGGAAGGAACTTTACCAACTGAAACAGGTAACCGCATAATTACAGCAAACATTGCCCTGCATCTTTAATCTTAATGCGAATAGCTGCTCGTTAAAAAAGATAATGGATTGTCAACGTTAAATTGATGCATTTTGATGTATACGTGACTTTAGTTTTTGTATCTTTCATAATAAATATCTCCTGCTGGCTAGTGCTTCGGTTGAACTGTCTGCTTTCTAAAAATTTATGAATCCCGCTACTACTCCATATATTACAACAAAAAAACGTATGGGGGATTCTAGTGGAAATCGAATGCTCTCTGGACGTTTTGCAAAAATACGATCCGATGACTTTCAGATTTTTTTTTTGTCAACGAATTGTGAGGAGGAGGAGGAGGGAAAAAACTCTAACGTCACCAAAAATTCGTTTAACCTTGAGGTTTTTGAGAAGCTTTTTAAAATCGTAAATCCTTATATCTATATATTCTAGTATCATATAACTATAGTTGGGGCAATTTCTTCTTCATTTTCAGTCAGGGGATATAATTTATTAACCTGACACCATTCTTTCAAGTTTATCGTTTAAAATGAGAAAGATAAAAAGATAGTAATAAAGAATATAGAAAGAAAGGAAAATGAAAAGGAGTGTGAGACTTTAAATAGCGAAATTAATAGTTCAGTTTTTAAATTCTTAATCTAATTTGCGAGCTCATCTCTCTTAATTGTGTAAATTTCAATGCTAATTATTCGCGAGAATTCTTTTAAAGGAAAATGAATGAGTAAATATAAAGCAATAATCTAATTCCCTGAATTATATTCTTTCGTTGATCGTCTTGTAATTTCTTTAAAATACTTTCGAACTTTTCGAACTTTTAACAAATAGATTGAGACACCTTTTCGATAATTTTACTAATTTTACCTTTACTGTCCTGTAATTGTAAATCTAACAAAATTAAATTAAGGCCCTGAACCAGAAATTTTCTCCCCTTTTATTCTTCTTTGTAATGTTAAAAATCGTAAGAACTAAATCATCAATTTTTCTCTATACGTGTTCATTGAAATAAATTAGAGTATAAGAAGGATGAAATGAATAATTTTTCGTTATTTTAGGGGAGAGGGAGTTACTTAAATAAAGAAAAAGAAAAGCGTAATACAGCATCTTGCGGGAAAAAAGAAAAGTGATGGTGGCGTGGAGCCAAGCCTCTTCCGTATCACTGTTGGGTGTCGTTTATGTCTAGAAATCAATGAGATTGAAATAAAATAGAAGATGGATTCGCGGTTCACCTTCATTTTATGAAATCTCTTTCAGTTTTCACCAATTTCTTACTGTATTTTCAAAACTAATATAGGTCACACATTCGCACAATTTTTAAATTGGCCTATGATGTTTGGATTTATTTATCCGGTTACAAATTGTGCCCAATATTGCGCCAGGCTTTTTTTAAATAAAAATTTTTTCAGCTGGATTAAATCGAGTACGTTTGACTTTTTATAATCCCTTTAATATTTTTCTAATTAAAATGGTCATGCAATGCTGACAACAAACAATTTAATAATAAAATGAAAAACTCCAGAAGAACTACAAAAAAAATGTGTACCCGCTTTCACATTTAAACTTTAAGCAACCTGGTGCGTTTGTGTACTATTCTATGGTATATCTCTCGATACTCACTGCGCACACCTATATCTTTATATTTTCTCTATACCCTTCGTTGGGGAAGCAACCAGTTTCAACGTTCCGGATGGATTCGACAGATCGAACGGCTCCAATTTCCCGCTCGACGTCACAACCATACGAGAGAGACTTTTTTTTCTAGAGAGAAAAAAAAATTGAAACGACGCGTGAATCCGCACGAAAAAACGACATTTGGTGAAGAACTCTTAAGAAAAAAAGAATAGAAAGTTTTTCTCCTTTTTTTCAGACGTTAGAAAACGTTTCTAATAATTGCTGATTACTTTGTTTGACCTTAACACTTCTTTTTCTTGTCCTCATACAAAAGTTAATCGTGACTCACATCTTAACTCAAAAAGTTGTTAAATACTTTATTTCCTTTTTCAAGCTTTCGATTTTCAAACAGAGACCTAAAAATTTTCTTGTTTTTTTTATGACTTTGGAAACAATTCAATTTCCAAGATAGAAAGAAAGGTGGATTTTTATGGCTTTTTTAGGATGAACATTTCAGTTTCAAAAGAAATAGAAGAAACACGGAAAATAAGAATTGCTGAGGGTTTTATTCAATTCTAATTAGAGTGCGGAGTTATCTTTCCTTTTTTACTATTGTTCATAAATAAGCCATAAAAGTGAGAAAAATCAAAACAATATTTGTTTTACGCATTTAGCGTTAACATTTAAAAAAATTTATTCTTTGAATATTAATTGACATCGGATAAATTAAAATTGACAGAATAAATTATTTTCTCATATTATGTGTATACAGAAATACATATTATAATACCATCATTTAATTGAAATGGAATATAATTATCCCTTTTTGAAATTTTATATAATTTTACATCTCGCAATAATGTATAACTTAATAATACACAAAACCGCATTTATATCAAATGAAATTAGAGAACAGTTTATAGAAGTGTCATAATTAAATTATTAATTAAATTTTGTGAAAATAGTTACAATTTCAAATTATCTATTTCCATAGCCTCAATTTTCTCAATATTTCTCAATATTTGTGAATAATCTCATTAAACGTAGTTTAAAAAGGAAAAGATAAAAAAAACAAAGTAATTATAATAATTTCAAACTTTTTCAATCAATTCAAGTAATTATAAATTTATAAATTCGTGTTTAACTATTTGGTTGAAGAAATTTTGTAGAGAGTTTCTCATTCACAATTATTGTATCTATGTATATATTTTGGAGTTATACAAGAGTTTTTTTTTTAATGAAACTACTTGAACAACTGTTAACATGAAGAGATAGTTGGCCAAAATATGTAACAACCTCTTGTATGTCGTTGATATCATAATAATATTTAGTGGAAAAGTAATAATACCTCTTGATGTCAGTATAGTAGCTACTTATGCAAATTAATGAAAATTAAGGACTACGTTTCCTACAAGAGGACCAGACGTTTCCGTCAAGATAAAGCAATTCTCTACCGCGGCACAATAATTGTTTACTGTTACCTCTCATTAAGACACATTTGTTTTCTACATTTGTTTATTCGAAAAAAATCATAATAATTGTTATTGCCTCTTTGGATTTGTTTCTTGTTGCAAATTTTTGTGCCCATATTGCGCCAGGCTTTCTTTAAATAAAAATTTTTTTGTTGGGTTAAATCGGATACGTTTGACTGTTTATGGTTCAGTATATTTTTCTGATTATGTAACAAAAAATGATTGTTAGTATCACATTAATGTGAAATTGAAAATTAATATTTAGATTGGAGAGTAAAGTTTGTAAGTGGAATTTTAATTAGAATATTACTTTATTTGTCATGGTATTAAACGAGGGAAATTCTCTTTAAATAGATATGTTAGTCGATATATGCAATCGATATCAAAGCACATTTCACTTTACCAATTATGTTGCTTCTATTAATATGGAGATTTGTGAACTCAAATGTTTGTTTGCAATAAACATGGATAATTACATGCCCAAATGAGCCTTTATTAAAAGCAATTGAAACGGCTGACTAATTTTAAAAGTATATATTATTTGAATGTTAGTATATACATGTATATACATAAATGGAAAATTTTCCGTAAATAATAAAGTATACTTGTTTATGAGAAAGTTTATACTTGGTCAGGAGAATGGTTGACCGAGAAGTTAAACGACACAACTTTGTTGTTTGCGTTAGTAGCGTAATAAACATTCCGACAAGTACGATACTCGAAAAGTACTTCGGCTCGTGTCAGACAAGCTCTCTTGTGCCAAAGTGATCGTTACACAGTAGCACAGTGGACATAGATGTGTTTGCGTCACAAGTACTTTAGAGTGGATCTCAAACGTTGCAATGGTCCTCGTTTAACTCACGATACATACCAAATTATTCATCATTACCAATACTGGATTGAACTTTAATATATAATGAAGAAAATCCACAAATGGAAGTCTCAATGTTGAATTTAGAACGACTTTGTGGATTTGTCAAACGGAATTATCAATTTCCTTCATTCTCCAGTCAAAAGGTAGGAACTTTAAAACCTGATATGTTACATTATCAAAGTCACGAAACAAATTCAAATAATCTGATCTTGATTTTTCTTTCAGAAAATAAGTTTAAAATATAACTTCATAAATAGTAATGAAGCTTTTTTGTTTATTTCAATATAAAAATTTAACATGAATAAAATAATTAATTTTGATTCAATATTTATTGTAGCTACTATTCAGGATTTATGGGTTTCTTGATGATTACATCATAATAACTTCGTGAATCTTAAAAGCAAATCTGAAATTGTTGGCTCAAGTTATTTGGTCCAGGTGTCAAGTGGAACAGAGGAGGTGAAAGATTATGGTTAGTAAATTCAAAATTTTACGATCTTCCACTTATAGATAAGCTTTACGATCATGTTACTGAACTTTAACAGACACTTATCTAACAATTTGAAAATGCTAATGAAATCTATTAATATGAAAATACTCTAAATTATAATTAAAGGACTAACTCTCATTTTATTGCAGATCAAAAGTCTAGTAATACTGAACTGAGTCAGAAGCAGATGGAAGGAGAACCTATCAGTCAGTCCCTAACCCCACACCGAAGAGCATCTATCACATAAGCAGAAAATTGTAAGTTACAATTTAGCAATTATTCCTTATGCTTTTATACGATCATAAAAATTAAAAAAGTGGTTATAATCTCAAACTGTCAAATTTAAAAAAAATTTCAATAACCATAAAAAATGGTTATAATCTCAAACTGTCAAATTTGAGAAAAAAATTTTCAATAACCATAAAAAATGGTTATAACCTCAAACTGTCAAATTTAACAAAAAATTTCAATAACTATAAAAAATGGTTATAATCTCAAACTGTCAAATTTAACAAAAAAAATTCAATAATTTAATTTCAATAAGCCAGAATAAATAGAACAAAAATTCTTATAATAAACTGAAGCCCAGGTTATAATTTATAAACAAAGGCAACTAGATTTTATCCCTTTAGTTCTTAAAGAAATTTTCACTCATATAGGTATACACGTATTCTTAAATATTTTTACATTAAAAACTTCTAATAGTATGCTAGCTCTTCTGAATTTTGAAGAGTTGCAGTTTCCTAAACTCGTGATCTGATCTTCAAAACTTGGTGCTTAATACTTTGATAGGTTACATAGAGACATGGTTTCGTATCTCTCTCGTTTTTTCTTTGGGTTTTTTTTGTAAAATTAATTACTTAGATGATAAGAAAACAAAAAGTGTACACTAAGCTATAAATGTATCCACAGAATCTACGCCAAATTTTTTTGTTATCTGTAATATTGCACATGCACTAAAATTGTAAGTGCACGATATAAATCGGAAAATTGCAATTTTTAACGTGAAACGAACAGACAGTCTATCAAAGTAAAATACACTATCTGGTCATGCAAAAGCTTGAAAAGATAGATTTAACGATTTATTTGGAAAAAGTGGCACAACCGTTTCTAACGGAAAGCTGTCTTCTGTGGCTCGATGCGTGTTTTCAATTTAATATCCGCGCGCCCGACGACAACGGATTCGAGGTCGGTCGAGGGGAATACGAAAGGAATAAAAAGTTTATATGCCAGTAGTTACAAATGACATGTCCGGTCTGGTCATTTTTACATTCTATCGAAGCCAAATGTATTTATTATAAATTCAAAAGAGATATTCTTCTACAAATATTTTTTTAATTAGTATTTCAAACTTTTTTGCTCGACCAGAGTTTTTTTTTTTTTTATTTTTCAATCACCTCTGGAACACAGTGAAACAAGAATTCAATGTTTGTACCCTGATACTATCGCCGCCAACGTCTCGGTATCTCTTTAATTAAAGTTACGAATTCTAGAGAAAGAAATGCCTTCTTCGCCAGTAGTTTTGCCATATATTAATTCCATTAACGGTCTTTCTCTGCTATTAGTAATGTTAATTAAAATCAAGAGTCTGACTATTCGAAACTTTTGTAAAAGAACACTTTTACGTTGGGGGATCTGTTATTTCGAAAGTAAATTCAAAGAGAACTACTTGGAAGCAAAATGAAAATCCATTTAAATCAAAGAATTAGAAACAACATTTTGATTTGAGTAAAAGAAAAATACGAAAAGGAACAATTTTTGTTTGGAAGAAAGAAAATTTTCATTTAGTTATTTTTTACTATTCTTCCAAAAATAAAGAAGAAATTTTAAAATTTTATTACATTGCTACGATATTGGTGAAGAACATTTTAAATCTTTATTACATAATTGAGAAATATGGAACAATTGATCATTATTATCACAAATACTCCTTCATATTGCAATTTGAGTAGTGTACTAATTGTAAGGTAATCCGCTTGTGTGTGTTCAGTAGTAATAGGCGGTTTCGGTCCAGCATGCGATACATTTTGTTCACAGAATCTGTATAATCAAGCGAGAAATCCGGGAATTTCAGCCCCTCTTGCATTGATAATGCTGTTTCGACAAATATAGAATACGCTGCAAAATCCTGCACTTTCTGCGCTTCATTTACTTGATCATTGTTACAGTGTAAATGGAAATTTACTTTATTGTATTAAAAGTATATTTTTTCTCTTTTTTAATACTCAGCAAATTTTCAATATTACATTACTGCATACTTTTACATAAATTGTCATATATTCAACAGGTATGAATATATCAGAATATCAAATTTTAATCACAAATTTTAATATCCAAGCATATCCAAGAGACTTTTGTTTTTTAATAAACTATGTTTTATGAAATTTATACATATGGTGTTATTAGCTTGGATTAAAGAGTCTACTTCTGTTTTATTTAAAATGGTTGAAAATGAAATCCTAACTTACTTAGCAAATTGAAGTCTTCTTTTAGTTTTCGTTTCTCTTTTGGAAAACTATTTACTTATTCCCAAGATACTAACAAGTTATATAATCACAAACTGTCAATTAAGAAAATAATTACTTTGAATAAAATAAAATTCTCCAAATAAGTAAAACAAAGTCTGCCCCAAATTGTAACTCACACCCTACTTCATCAATAATATTTCCTCGTTTTAAATACAAAATCCAATTACAAAAATCAATTATTAATTTACAATTACTAAAGGCAAAACTAAAAATTAATTATAAACTTGAAAAACTATTAATGTTTTAATAAATGGTTTCGAGGACGTGACGCTAACAAAATAAATTGATTTTACAGATTACTGATGAAAAAAGAAAACAGTACAAAAAATGGGAAATCATCCTTTTTATAGAGATATATCAAGTGAGCTTGAGACAGAAAAAGCGAAATATTGCTCTTAATGCTGCAAGGGAGGCAAACTATGAGAAAACAAGAGCTATTGTGGCTTCAATATACAGCTCCGAGCTTTCGTGAAGTTTACTTTTTGCATTTGGACGATAGATTTTACTGAATTCCAGCCAGCTAAAATATATCATTATTATAACGCTCAGTTAAATATATCCCTGTTATTTTTAACAATAAAAAATAAAAAAAAATATACAATATCGAGAGTTTCTCTTTTATCCTAACTTAAACGACATTTTTTTTCTATAAAATAAAAAATAATAATGGAAAACTTTAAATGATTGGATAAAATTAAAATTGAGTATGTATCCTAAATAATAATTATTCTTATTATACTAACCGTTGAGTTCAAAGAGAAATTCACGAGACCTAAATTGCGATTTAAATCGGTGAGCTTTAGAATCAACCAACATTGACTTTATCCAGTGTCTATTTAAAACGCTATAGAGAAGAGAGAAACTCGACTGATATAGAATATATTTGAACTTCGCGTGCGTTTTACATAAGCACTGGATAGAATCAGGAGACTTCCTACCTACTTCAATATGAAGGGCAACTTTCAACAAAGCAAAAAGGGGAGCATTTTCTTGAGAAAAAAAAGTTTCTATTTTAATGTCAAAAGTTGAAAGGTATAAAGCTTTCTTTTAGCACGAACAAGCAGAAAGTAAACTTAACTTTCTCTCGCGGAAAAATTCGTAACTTTTATCCAATATTTCAAAAGAAGGATATAAAACAGCAAAGGGCACTTATTTTCTAATTTATATTTCCTATTGTATTAAATCAGAAATAAATTTTTAATATTTTAATAGAAAGATTCACAAACATTGATAAATGTTCAATAATTTTTTTTTTTTTTTGGGAAAATAAAAACAAATAATAAAATTTCATACGTTTATAAAATAGAGTTATTTATCAATTGAGCCTGACATCTGACAAAATATTCAAATCCCTCAAATATAATAAATACTCCACTCCATACTTGGATGATTTTTTGTGCCAATATAACTGACGTGATAAAAATGATAAATCGCATAAATGTACAGCATACACTTATAAGAAGTGCCTTTCAATCATTGTAAAATATTTATTACAAGTATTTAAATTTTAAATAGTTTCACGAATATTTGAATTTGTTTTTTGTCACATGTTGTTACGAAAATTTACGTTTGTATTTCTTTTGGTTTCAAAAGAAGAATTTTTACGTTGTTTCTAGATATTAAATATTTCTCAAGAAAATATATACAGGTCACAGTGATACTGTTCAAGTATTCAGCAGGCATCCTAGCAAGGGGCGAGAGATTCCTTATTTGCTTCTGATTTCTTTTACACAAGGGGAGAATGGGCGACGAGTTGAAATGAAATCCTACATAGAAAAATTGATTTCTAGAGGCTAAAAATTGTAAAAGCCAAAGTTCATAAGTTTTTGAAAATGTCACCTCGAGAACTGGTGTTAAAAAAATAAATAGTGTCAAACTATCGAATTTTAGTAAAAACATTTAATAAACTTAAATTTATATAGACGGATTTATTTTTCATTCCATCCACGTTTTGTATACTTCTATACGTTCTAGTTTTAATTTTACCACTGCTGACTAATATTATCTTGCTGACCTAAAGGCTGACCAAACTCAATTTGAACTGAATTGAACTGATTATATACTCCCTCTGACTGACTTTCTTGGTTGATGGGTCACCCTTATATAGAACGATTTACAGTTGCATTTTGCCAGGTTTGAATAACGTCTGATTATATGAGCAACGCATCATGGTTACAGAACATTTATAGATATGATTATAAAAATAAAAAATATGTTAAAATAAAAATTTTTATTCACATCGAATTTAATTTATATAGACTTTCTCATTCCAAACTTAATGTTGAAAATTATCTTTAAAGCAAAACGACCGTCTGTTTATTTGAATTAAGTCATTTACTTCTCTTCCAGGTACCTCAAAGCATCACAAGGATTAATTTCCTAAAACGGAGAATTTTGTTTACTGACATTTCATTAAAACTGATTACGTCTATTTAGATAACTTAAGAAATTTTAATTGGAAAATTTTCTGAATAAAATGAAAGTAAATTAATTTGGATTCTTAATTAGAAAATATGTTAAAAATAAAATTGCATTGGGTAATTTGTACCTACATTTAATTTAAAATAAAGGTTCTTCAAATAAACGTATAAAATGGAATGGATTTCACGAGAACTCTCACATAATATTGAATAAGTTGAAGGGTGCGTATGTAATTTTTTCCTGGCTCTTTGCCCAAGATTTTATTTGCGCAGAATATGCCCGTAAGCGTAAATGTTATATATTCCTTTTGTTTGCACGAACCGATTACACAAATCGAAAGGAAATAAATGTATGTAATCAAAAGTATATGAGAAAAGGGTAAGGTTAATGAAAACTTTGCAGAATAATATTTACAAAAATTATTAGATTGAAAAAAAGGTTTAAGTGAAATATGATGTTATATTATTTATCAGGTTTTATTACTTCTATGAATGATTAAATTCTTTTGACCTTGACGATGAGTGCTGCTAAGAATAATGGATGTTCTTGACAGACATTGTCTTGGTGAGGGGGCTTTTCACTAAAGGACATTCAAACAGGAAGAATAAATGGATTCTAAGAGTTCAGAGAGAGTATTCCATGTCAGCAGACCGGAAACAGAAAATCTTTGGTTTTATGGTTGGAGTTAAGAGTGTAAGAATTCTGGTCGACCCACTAAAAACCACTTCCGTCTCATTTCGGAATATTCTTCAACCCATGGAATTACCTATTGGCTTCAAACTTCGTGGATGAATGTATCCAAGGTATTGCACCTAACGACCATACATCTTTTTCTGATTGGACACGACATAAAGCCTACCTTTATGCATCGCAACTATTCAAGCTTTTCAGCTTCTTCCAAGTTCCTCTTCTGCCCAGACTAAACATTGGTACAGACGTTTGTCTTTCTTTTCCCTGACCTCCTGAATGAGCGATTTTAGACCTTTTAGTCCCTCCTTAATAGTCATATTGACATTCTTCTGCACCTCGCAGGACTTGAACATTTTGCTGACTTCTTTTCACTCTGACTGCCTCTCCTCTAACTACAAATTAAAGAAGAATTTAGAAGAGGTTCCTCTAAGGAAGGGGATTGCTAAAGTAACAAAGGTGCCGAAATCAAAACAGAATTTATAGTTGATTACAATGACGAGATCAACAGATGTTGATCAGAGCTACAACAGGCTTGACGTACACTGATGAACTGAACAAACATCGTAAGAAAGTAAATCCGAACGTCAACCACACGCGTGTTTTAGGGTCAAGACCTACAAGGAAGAGCGTCTTCCTGATTCAAATCGGAGGAGACCCCAACAAAGAGGATTTCACCACGAGGATCAACAAAGCGGTTAGAAGCATGGGGAGGGAGTTCATGGATCGAAAAGTCACTCTCGTTATCCGCCATTTGGATTGCCTTACCCAAGAAGATGAAGTCCAGGAAATAGAAATTTTACGTGTTGAAAAGATCGAAAGGTTTTTCTACATTGTTTGATAAACATTATTAGATTTTTTTTCAGTAAATTCCCTACATATAAATATCTTCATCAAAAAAAACATTTTTTATTTATATTTCTATAAATTCAAATAGTATTTCAAATAGTTTATTTCGCTTATAAATTGTTTCTAAAGCTTTAAACTATCTTATTGTGATATAGTTCTATAGAATTCTAAAAAAAAATTGAATTTTATCTCGCCTTTTCATGCAGCAAACTATCCGATTTTTGTAGAGAAATAAAAATTGTATTAGTTTTTGAAAATTTATCTCTTTCGAAGTGTTTGTGCTTTTAATTGCACACATGGCATAAAATCAAGATACCACTTGGGGAATATAATTTTCCATGCTCGTAAAACTTAATTTATATGACTATTTTCAGTTTAAAAATCTTAAATCGAAAAGTCAATCCTATGTCCTGTTGGTAACTGATAATTTACCTTCTTTCACCCTAGATTTGTATTTGCGATAAAATCACAGTGATTTTTTAGTGTTAAAAAAGAGTACCAGAAACTTTCGCTTGAATGACTGTTAACAGCTACAGCAATTCAATGAAAAAGTCAATACGATGCACGCAGTCATGCAAACTGCATTTGGAACTGGTCGGATGACTGAACTTTTGCTCCAATTCAAATTTCAAATCATGATAAGGACATTTGTATTCGCGCTGAAAAAGGCATTTAGCACTGGGACGTGATTTCCGGAGCAATATTCTCACCGCACTGCTATCGAGTACAAATTACCCTTGTCAGGAGAAAGTGAACTTGACAAAAAAAATAATAATGAAGAAAAAATAGTAGCGGTAAAAATTTTCTATTATATTTCAACATTTTTTTTTTTTGGTGAAGGAAGAAAGAAATAAAAAGAAAGTTAAGTCACATCTCATGGTCAAGGCAGCTTTTTCGCTTGAATAGACCATTTGATTTTTTTTTTTGTAAAGAGATCTTCCAGATCTTGCACTCTTTCATCGATTCTCTCGCACATATATAGAAAAGAATTCAGCTAACGATTGTAACGTAACTCTCTTGCCTCGCCTCGACACCCCTATTCACCCTCGATATATAGCTCTATCTCCGTTCTTCACCTCATACCACTGCTTTTACACCCATGAGTATTCTTTCTCTCTCTCTCTCTTTTTCTCTTTCCAAACGGAACAATTATTTATATCGACTGTTTTAAATGGCAACTGCAAACACATGTCCCAATAGGCATCAAATTCTAAAGCACATGCGTAAATCATTATTGAGTTTCGCCAAGGGGCAAAGCTTTCGATTGCAATCTATTATTCAGGGATTACGGGGGCTCTTACCAAGAAAACACTCGAGCTTTTGTGGAACACCTCCATTTATCGCGAAATCCACGTTTCAGTTGACAAACAGTGACGGGCCAAGTGGTAGCGCCTGACGGTTCAATTCAACGGATGTGACTCTCTGACTGTATAAAATTAAACCCTGATCCAAGAAGCTTTACTCCGGTTGGTAAA